TGGTTGAGCTCTCTGGTCCCTGTTTCATTGTAAAATCATCAGGGTTTGATGGAGCAGTGGTTGGCGTGTTTGATTCATAATCTAAGGATTTATCAACTGCAAAATCAAAAATCTGATGATTAGAGCCATACTGATGAGTCCTAATAGGACGAAACACTGTGTCTATGGATATATATATATATATATGGTCCAGGTTAAGCCTGAAAGTGAAACCAAGATGGCCTAAAACTTGAATTCTAGTGGGTAGCGCACTATTTCATTCAATCTTATTGAAATAAATCATGTCAACACCTCCTCCCTCCTCCTCTATTTAAACGAACTCCACTTTACAAAAATTGCTCCAATCTACTCCAAAATGAACCATTCAATAAATCATATTCAATCTGCTTTAGCAAATTCATAATTATTACAATTTGGTTTATAATCCAAAAATAAACTCAGTGATTAAGAACGCCCCCCCCCCTCCCTCTCTCTAATATATATTCTATTCTCTATGGTATCTGCAAATCAATGAGACAACGTTCTACTGCAAATTAGACAGATAAAGGTAAAATGTATGCAACATGACTGGTATCACGTTGTGACCTCGTAGCTCCTGTAGTTTTGATTTAACACTCAAGTAAGAGAAAATCAAATTCCTCCGGTCATATATTAGCAAACCTAAACATGTTCTCAACAGCTGATTAATAAGAGGAGTTATGATTAAATCTTACTTTAGTTTGACATGGTTGTTGTTTATAAAATGGCATCAGAAACCTCTAAGTTAAGTAGGAAGGTTTTTTAAAGCCCAATGAGGGAGGGGTGGCTGCTCTCAGGGTTTTGGATAAATTTCCGATTTTAACTCCTAGACCCGGGGAGCAGCCACCCCTCCCTCGCCCAATTAAGATCTCACCTCTACGTATAAGCCGGCCACATACTGTTGAAAACTGCTTAGCTCATTATTTCACGACGTTACAGTCACTAACCTCTGAAACCACATATTACAAGAATACAAGAAGNCCTGTACACTTTGTACACCGTGTAGGGTTTACACCGCGCATTTTCTTAAAAATATTTTCCTGGATTCCCCGAAGTCCCGAAGTTACCGGGTTAAGTGAAAGTGAGACGGATGGATAGATAGCGAAGAATCGAAGAGAGCTCTCACTTGGTTTACAGCCGGGCCTGAACTGATCATTTTCTCTGGGTTGGTTTCTCACTCTTATACACCGTTACTTACACTACATATAGATAGATAGATAGATAGACAACGGTCCTGTGGATAGATAGATAGAACAGGCGACAACTAGAGCAGAAGATAATTAGTAGACACATTATTGTTTCAAATAAAAACTAAAAAAATTCTTTAAAGAATGGATAAAATGCAGAGAAATTTAAAAGTTGAATTGTCCAATTTTTAAAAATAACCTAAGAATAATTTCAAAACCAACTTGTATGCAAAAACATCTGATTTAAAAATAAGTTAGATTTTTGCTTAATTTTTATGACATTTTACTTATTTTTATTTTTCTGAATTTTACGTAACTTTACACGTTGGCTATTCAGTGCTTGATCCAAAAATTCGTTTAACCTAACCCATGTTTTTTCAAGGAACCCAGTTTAGTTTACTGTACAATTATAGAGCAGAGAGGTTTCCTATGTATTTAATAATTTTTATATACAAATATACATACATACATTATATTTTATATATGTGAATATCTTGGTTTAAAACTATTTCTAAAACGTTAAATATAAACCCTAAATGAAGTACGATAAAAAATGTTATTTTTGTTGTTGTTGTTGAAGACTTCTCTTCTGAACTCTTATTAATTCTTACGTAGTTTAGATTTTACTCATGTTTGCTGTAAACTGCGAACGACATCTTTAATCTAAATTTTTAGGATTGGTATAAAAAATCAATTTTTTCATTTTTAATTAGATGTAAAATAAGGTTTCTCCGTTTTTGTTCTTTTTGTTCTGTTAATCTATCACACACTGTTGACTACAGAGCTATCTTGTTTTTTTATCGTTTAATTGCAAGCAATTACGTTCAATATTTATAATTAAAAAATTAAAATCATCGGAAATTAGGACTGCAGTTTTCTTATGATTTTTATAATGAGCCGATTATGAAAATGGACATGAAAGCATCAAGATTTATAATTTAAAAAGACTACACTTTACTGTTGAAAAATGAAAAACTTGAGAAAGCCAGAAATGAGACAGTATAGCCATACATGGATGTGGACATTGGAGTTAAAAAGATGGGCCTGGGAATATGGTTTCAAGAAGAAACATATTGTCCTGAGTTAATGCATGGATTTGCAAGAGAAACTTCCAGGATGAAGCTTGTAGTTAGTTGTACGTACTACGTAGACTTTACGCTAAACTCTTCCTTGTTCCTTGGATACAAGAGGGAACCCTGGATACCAAGGGGGAACCCTGGATACCTGGGGGGAACCCTGGATACCTAGGGGGAACCCTGGATACCTATCTGTACATCCTGTACCTCGTGTTGCTTAAGTGCCAAGGTTCAGGAAAGGGGGGAAATTTTTGGTTAAAAGGTGAAGGAAGTGAAAGAAGTTTACAAACATGAAACTTTAAAATTCATAGATAAACAAGATTTTATAAATATCTGTAGAAATCAAAATGTTTTCACATAAATTGCGTCTGGATATCTCAGTCCTCTCTGACAACAAATATGCTGAAAAGTGTTGCCAGTAAATATGAAAGAGACTCAATTTTATTATTTAATAATTTTTTTGTGTCGTGGTATGTGTCTTAGATTTAATGTGTCTGATGTGGTATGTTCCTGAGAATGCAATATGGCGTGTGAAGATGTATGTTTGCTTTAACTCTTTTTACACAGTACCTGTTCATTTTTTTCAGGTCAAATAATTATATTTTATAAAATCTTTTATTTTCATGATAGATTTTAAATTAATATTAAATGAACTTTAGTTTAATCTTAATATTTAGCATGCTGGCTTTGAAACCCGGCTTTGCCTGGAGTTTCCCAAAACTCAATTTTCAATTTTAAACCAGACTCAGAACATTCCCGTAGTTTTAACGAGTTCCTCTATACAAATTTTAGGCCAATCAGTCGAGGGGTTCCTGAGTTATGATTAAGCATACAAACAAACAAACAAAGATTCTTTTATATAAACAGGGTGAGTCAAAAAAGTGTGATTTGCGGCGCCTGGTGCAAAATTGTACCTTTTTTGTATAACTCTCCTGTATGGTGTTTTAAAATATTTTTTGAAAATTTGTATTTTTTTTGGTACTTCAATGGTCTTTAAAAAAATCCGCAAACCTTTTTTTGTAGATATATTTCGTGGATATCAAAAGTAAATCAAACAATAAAAAACAATAATTTCTTTTATTTAACAAAACAAAACAGAAATCTTCAGCGTCGCTGTGATCACAGTTTTTTATGAACATTATTATCATTGTAATAATTACCATGCATACTGAGATACTCATCAATGTCTTTCCAGGGTAGGCGTGTCTGTGGTAGGCGTGGCTGTTTAAGTTTAGTTCCGAAGTTTGGAAGATATTTACTCACGTCCCGGATTTCCTTGTCTAAAAATTACATTTAAAGGGAGTGACCGGCAATGTATGGTGGTTGAGCAGAGGTTGCAGTATTGTAGAAAAATTCTTTAGGATTCATATTAAACGTTTTAAAGATCTATAATTACAAGCTTGAGCGCAAAGTTCAAAATCATCAATTTGGTTGGATACATTTTGAGAATCGTTATTATTGCAAAAAATGTAACAAAAATTCTATAGTAAACTGATTGCTACTTGGTTAAGAACAGGTTGAAAAATTAAATTAACTCTTATCATCGAAAATATGTAATCTTGTTCAATTATTAGTTTCTATAATCTCTCATTATTCACAAAGATATTCTCCAGATTTTCTGGAATTTTTATTGAAAAGACGACATTTGAAGAATTTGTAGAAATCTGCGAACAAATTCATAGAAAATAAGAAGTTCAATAATAATAATAAAAATGAAATAATATTTTCTGACATTTATATATTGACAAACTTCTTTTGAGAGATTTGTTCCTAAACATCTAATTTATAGCTTACTGTAGAATTTTTACTATTTTTTGTCGTTTAATAATTTTAAAAAAGCCGATTTTTTAAACGTATCTACCCAAATTGATGGTTTTGAACGTCGACGTTGCTCTCATGCTCAGTAATTATAGATATTTAAAACGTTTTATATGTCTCAAATAAATCCTAAAGAATTTCTCTACAATATTGCAATCTCAGTTCAACCACCATACATTGCCGGACACTCCCTTTAATAAAAAGGAAATATGAGAAAAGACAATTTTGTCTACATTCAGTTTTTAAAGATCTTTCTTTAAACTTTTATCGGTTTTCCATTTTTCTTTTCCCTTCTGTGCTCGCAACTTAATAGTAAATTTAAATGGTTTTATCAAAGACTGTAGTCAAACAAATCATTTAAAGGATTCAAAAAAATAATAAAGCTTCTAATTAATCTATATTAAAGCAAAAGACATTCGTTTATATGTCCTCTTTAGCCGGTCACTTATGGGCCACTTATGGGTAGCCTGTGGTTGACAAAATTTTATTTTTTTCTTACGGGCAACGCCGGGTTCTTCAGCAAGTCTATATTAAAAAAAAAAGTGGAAGTTAGAGATGCACAATATTAATTGACCAAAAGTTAAAAAATCGTCTCTCTAGTTAATTAAGTTTTGAGGAGCACTGTAAAGTTACTCTTTACCTGTATTCTGGTAGGTTGGGAGAGGAGGGGCTAAATACAGTCCTGGTCTCCGTACTGCACCTTTATATATAAAGAGCGTTTTTGAAAAAGTGGTTTTTTTAATATTTCGTTAGGAGAAAGATAAAATCCACCAAAAAAAATTCTTTATAAAACTATAAATTTGCGAAACGATTACAAAATGACAAATAATCCTAAAAAATCTTCTAACAAAATGACTAAAACAGTTTTTTAAAGCACCCTAAAAATATCAATGTTTTTTATTCATTTTCAGATGAAATATTATTATAGAAAAGTATCCTTGCCTTTATTTTTGTTTTGCTTCTTATCCGTTAAACCACTACCGAGCTGGGTTTCAGATAATTGAGTATCGTCTTCATTTGATTCAGTCTCTGTATCTTTATATATATAAAGTTGTAATTTATGTTTGTCTGTCTGTTTCTATGTCCGATCCTAACTCATAAACCCTTTGACCTATTTGATTGGGGAACTCGGGAGAACCACGAGAATGTTCTTAGCTTAGTTTTACGATTCTAAGTATGAGTGGGTTCACTTTTAAAGGGTAAAAAACGTAATTTACAACCAAGCGCGGGTAAAAGCGGGAGTAACTAGGAGTACCATTGGCAACGCTGGGTTCTCAAACTAGTCAAAAATAAACTAATAACAAAATAATTTTAAGTTTAAAAATGAAAATTTGTTCTTGCCTTTTTGTTGACAAGCTTCTTTGAGACAGAAAAGAAATCCATTAATCTGAATTTGGATTCTTCTCGTTATTATTTAAGTCAAAACTTTTGTATTCTAAATCTGCTCATTACGCGCTTAATTGGCTTCCCCAGAGTCAGTATTTAATGAATTTGAGCTAGGTAGCTGAACTAAAGGGTATCCCACGAAACATGACAGTTAGTGAATAGTTTTGGATGTCTTCTTCCATATACTATATTGAATATTAAATACTTTTGCAATTTATTTCGTTAAAAAACATTTTTTCCTTAAATTTATTTTACTTTTAAATCAATTTTATTACAATAAGATTGCCATTTAATATTTTTTTTTATCGCTCTCTTTATTTTCAGCAACCTCTCCAATTTATTTAATTCGGTCCCTGCAGGTTTAATTTAAGTCGTCAGACACCCCTTTCTTTGAATGTAAATTTTTTATCTTGGTTAATTTCCTGTCCATCCCAGGAATGAAACTTAAACCCATAAATTTAAGTTGATGTGGCTGAGCGCCTTCCCAACCAAAAGTTTTAGCCTCTTGTTTACCTTGATTCGGGGGAAGGTATGAGATTCCCAATTCCTCAATTTGCGGACTTCCATAGAAATCCAGGGAGAGACCTTCGTCCTCAATCTCATTGGATTTGATGGTTAGAGGAGTCGAATCCATGATCTGTGTAAATATTTCGAGCATTTCCTGAATACATGTTTTTTAAGTTCATAGCTTGCACAATCAAACATTTAAACTTGAATTAAAATCAAACCTTGAACTCTTTCATATCCTTCATATCCAGCATCAGAGCGTCTTCAGAATCAGCCTCCTGATCACTTGTTCCAGCAGTATTTTCAGACTCAGTCTCCTGATCAATTACTTCAGCAGTTTCAGAACCTACTCCATAAGCTTCAAGACTCTTGATTGGTTTATTTTCATCAACCGTTGAACCAGAGGAAGTGGTTGGTGTCTGGTAAGAGCTAAGATCTGAAGAACCATTCTGATCTTGATTGATGTCATTTCTGTTTCCATCTTGCTTGCCTGTAGTATCTGGATCAGAATCTTTATTCTTTTGTTTTGTTTCATCCTGATCCTTCCCAAAGGATCCCTCTGGCTGATTTACGGAAGATACGTATGTTTCTAGGTTATCATCGGTCAGGATTGGGATTTTATCTGTAGATGTAGAGATACCCAAACCAGCAGAATTAGATAATGGGTTATAACTACTAAGATCATCATCATTCTCCTTGTCTTCTTTGTCTTTATCAGGGGAAACTGATGTACTTCCAGAAGGCTTTCTTCCCTTTAGAAAGTCCTGATTGTTATTTTTACCAGCTTTTGAGTCCTTATTGTCGGCTTTAATCGAACCATCTTCATTTGGAGGAATATAGTTGATATCTGATGAAATGGCGGAAATTCCTTGAAAACTTCCTGAGGTTTGAGGTGCTAGGTAGTCAAGAACAGTCTCTACTGTAAGCTTGCCGGGCTCAACTTTACCTTCATTTATTAATTGCGATGTGACTGGAATAGGTTGACCGGATTCATTTTCACCCGGGGCAAGATATTCATTCTCGGCTTCTGCGTTAATTCCATCAACCTTGGTTGGAGTTACAGGAGCTAGTGGGACTGTACCCGTTGATACTTTAGGTTTGTCTGGAGTAGTATTGGTAAACTGTGGCTGTTTCTCGGAGCTGGGCGTAGAAATAGATTGTTGAGGTGACTGGTTAACAGAGGAGGTAGGTGGTTGGGTTCCAGGTTTTCCAGATGGCGTTGTTGGGGGGACAGCTTCAAGAAGAGGTTTGTTGACAGTTGGCTTTTGACCAATATTTTCAGATCCAGAAATCAATCCAATCTCTTCTTCTTCGCTGTACCCTTTGCTTGGAACAACTGTAGTTGGATCCAAACACCACTGAAAAAAATTAAGATTTTAAATATAATTTCCAATGGTTTTCCTCTTCTTTCTATTTTATACCTTTGTAATAAGTGGTTTGTCCTTTTCCTTTGCAGAATCAAACTTGAGTTGGCAAACCTCCTGCAAAACAAGATCAAAATGTTTTGCATTTAATGTGGATCATATTTTTCTGTGAGTGCCCGAAAAGATTTTTATTTGATGATTTAGAGAAAAAAATATTATTAAAACAAATCTGAATAATTTGTAAATGAAAAATGATCATAATTTTTTTGTGAAAATTCCATGATCTTTCCTTTGGTACGAGAGAGCATTCTTGAACAGCATCAAGTTTTGGAACCAACTTGGTTGCAAACCTACAAGTCTTCATTGGATTGAGATCACAGGATTCTTCAGGAACTTCTATTATACTAGACTCTTCCTTGTCATGGCATTCTTCTTCCCCAGGCTCCATTCGACAGTTAGCTTCAATAAAGATAAAATAAAAAATATAGAACAAAGGAATTAAGTCTTTGCCATAAAAGTTCAAATTTTCTATTCCCTATATCGTTGCAACCTGACAGAATTCAACATTAGGCTGAAAATATATAAGGGCAGTGGCATAGACTCAATTCCTTTAGAACTTTAAAATTAAAAGATCATAAACCCTATTTCGTGACTGCGAACATATTTGTTTTGTATGGGTAATTAGTGGCAAAAAGTTTGCACACAAGGTTTGGCATGTTTCATGCAGATTTTATTTCCTGCAATAAACTATACCATGTGTTTCCTGCAATATATGTATGCTAGACCATGTTTCCTGAATACCAGATTTTTAGCGGATTTTTTATGTGGATCTAGTAAAAAATTCCTCACCCAGTCCGCAAAGTTCAACTGGTATTTTTTCACAGCTGGTATCCGCGACCATTTGTCCAGGGGCTTTCTCAACATATTTTGTTGTGCACGAGGTTTCAAAGAATGTGCGGCACCTAGCGTCGGAACTTCCAGTTTGCCGTTGAAACCTGGCTTTCAGATCAGAATAGATGGCGTTACGTGCGTGTCTTGCAGAATTGTCTATACTCCGTCGAACTCTTTTCTCTAAAATGTTAACAATTCAAAATGCACCTAAGCATCTGCAAATAGAAATGGGCATAGTTTTTTTGAACGAACAAAATGTTTTGTGAAAAAGGGTGTAGTTCAGAAACAATGGACGAACTATGAACGAACGAAATGGATCGCTGAGAGAAATAAAAAATGATCGTTTTTTAAAAACAAACGAGAAAAAGTAAAAACAAACTTGTTTGAACGAACTTCAAAAAAACTATTTTTTTTTCTGAACGAACGAGTGTTCCAAAAGATTTTAAAAAATGATAGTTTTTTGTGTACTGAATGAACAATTTTTTTGAACAATGATTCCACTGAACGTATGATTTTACTGAACGATCGTTCAGTGAGAAAACGAACGAAATAGATGGAAAATGAACGGTAGTATTGAGAACAAACAAAATTAATATTATTAACGATTAAAAAAATAAATACAAATCAAATGGGTCGTTCAGGAAGGATCTATCGTTTCAAACTAAAGTCATGGATGTAAATATGGGGTTGAACAAGTTTAGAGTTATTTCAAAAACAATCATGGGCCGATAAATTTTAAACTTCTGATTAATTAATCAAATGATTAACCGTATAGTTTAGAATGGCAGATCATTTAACACACTTTTTTTCAGTTAACAACGTAACTTTAAAATTAAGAAAATTTGGACATGCTAAAGCGTAAAAAAGTTCACCTTTAATTGGATCACAAACTCGCACAAGAGGTCTGTAACATTTTCTAAAAAGAATCTTCATTGAAGGGGTTGAAAGCGTAATTTCAAGCGATCTTCCATTTATCACAACGATAGCGTTCAAACCTTCGACTGATCAAGGATATCGGATATGTCCTTATTAACCTACTAGAACGTTTTTAGATTCTAAACAATGTTTTTGCGAAATGTTAAATATTTACAATAGTTACATTCTAAAAGTGACAGAAGATAAAAATTTTAATGTGTAAAAACCGCGTTTAACATTAAACAGTCGACAATTTCGAGTTGCGCAAGTTACAGATCAACTGTGTATCAGACTGTACACAGCATAGACCACGTACTACAGGAATTCAAGCGGGTTTCTATTTGTTTAAACAAAGATATCGCTTTACTCGATGAACAGTCAAAGGTTTCAAGGGTACCATTTCAAATCTGGCACTAGGTTTGGTGCATGGACGGTCACTTAAAATTACGCTTACAGTCTTTTTAACCATTAAAAAAATCAAAATATAAAAGAATTGCGCCTTTATTCTCACATTTAAAAATAATAAAGTTAAAGAATTAAAATGTTTGTCTTTTACCTAACTGTTTGGTTTGTCGCCTGTTTATGAAAAGTTATCTGACAACTCTTCTCAAAATTCTCCTCACAAAACTCCTCCTACAGTTCTTTATAATTCAAAACTATACCTTGGTATTACTCAAATTGGTATAATTAAAACACAATTGGTATGCACTCCAATTTTAATTATTAAAGGGAGTGTTCGTGAAAAATGAAAGGGGGTATAGGCTTACGGAGAAAAATAATCGCTTCTGATCGCTACTAATCTTTCTTCTAAAACTGAATATTAGGAATTGAATCTAAAACTAAATATTAAGAAATGAATATAAAACTGAATATTAAGAAATGAATATGAAACTGAATATTAAGAAATGAATATAAAACTGAATATTAAGAAATGAATCTAAAACTGAATATTAAGAAATGAATATAAAACTGAAAATTAAGAAATGAATCTAAAACTGAATGTTAAGAAATAAATCTGAAACTAAATATTAAGAAATGAATCTAAAACTAAATATTAAGAAATGAATCTAAAACTAAATATCAAGAAATGAATCTAAAACTGAATATTAAGAAATGAATATAAAACTGAATATTAAGAAATGAATCTAAAACTAAATATCAAGAAATGAATCTAAAACTAAATATCAAGAAATGAATATAAAACTAAATATTAAGAAATGAATCTAAAACTAAATATCAAGAAATAAATCTAAAACTAAATATTAAGAAATGAATCTAAAACTAAATATCAAGAAATGAATATAAAACTGAATATTAAGAAATGAATATAAAACTGAATATTAAGAAATGAATATAAAACTATATATTAAGAAATGAATCTAAAACTGAATATTAAGAAATTAATCTAAAACTAAATATTAAGAAATGAATATAAAACTGAATATTAAGAAATGAATATAAAACTGAATGTTAAGAAATGAATATGAAACTGAATATTAAGAAATGAATCTAAAACTAAATATTAAGAAATGAATCTAAAACTGAATATTTTCTATAAAGATTATAAACTGTCCTGTGAAGGATAAAACTGTGTTACATACGTGTAATGACATTCTTCAACCTAAAAACAAATTATTTTAAACTGTTTAATCTTTACAATAACATTTTTCCCTCTCAAATACTTTATTAAAAGAAACATTTTTGCATGTAAAAAATTCTGATCAAGAAGATTTGAATATATTACAGACGAAGCGTAAGAAAAAAATTATATGAAAGAAGGCCGAGAAAATTCTTTAAAATTGGAAAAATTATAAAAAGATGTCTAGTGTACCTCTTTATGCAAGCATTCTAACAGAGGTTGCTTTACAATAGTCTTGATGGTTTCCTCTTTAAAGATACAGCAAAGTCCTAGAATTAAACAAAATAAATCAAAATGTATACAAATTCATTTTTTTGGTCTTAAAAAAAGATTGTGCTTACCCTATGAATCATGACATTTTTTTGGGAAAAGATGATTTTTAACCACGGGAGTTTTATATTATAAACTTTGTTCGTTTTTATTCGGGGTAAAGATATTAGGTTACAAAGTTTGTGCAGAATGTTCTCCCTAAAACTGCAGAAATGGTTAAAGAAAATGAGTTTTTAACACAAACTTGAATTCTTATCCCTCTATCTTTGCAAAGAAATAAGAATTATATAAATCAAGTTTTTCGCAAAAATTCAGCTTCTCGAAACATCAGGAAACAGTGCATCTGATGAAAATTTTCTATTTTTGTTACATCTTCCTTCAAAGAACTGAATTCCTTTTATATTTACCTGTCTCCTGATCTTCCTTGCACCCGGAGAAATCTATTTGTCCTGTGGCAGTAAACTCCTTCTTTTCCTTCTTTTCCTCATCATTTTTATTGTTTGATTCTTCTTTCCTTTTCTCATTTTCTTTCTTCTTTTCTTCCTTTTCTGTATTTTTATCTGTATCTTTTATTCCTTCATTCTTTTTCTCGTCTTCATTCGGATTCTGTTTGTCAGGGCTTACTTTATCATCAGAAGTTTCAATTTTTGAATCTGATCCTGATTCTGATCCTGATCCTGATCCTGATCCTGATCCTGATCCTGATCCTGATCCTGATCCTGATCCTGATCCTGATCCTGATCCTGATCCTGATCCTGATCCTGATCCTGATCCTGATCCTGATCCTGATCCTGATCCTGATCCTGATCCTGATCCTGATCCTGATCCTGATCCTGATCCTGATCCTGATACTGATCCTGATACTGATCCTGATACTGATCCTGATCCTGATCCTGATCCAGGTTAAGGTTTAGTATCTCCTGCTTCAGGTTTATATCCAGGGAAAGGTTTAGTATCTCCTGCTTCAGGTTTATATCCAGGTTTAGGTTCAGTATCTCCTGCTTCAGGTTTATATCCAGGTAAAGGTTCAGTATCTCCTATTTCTCCAGATGAAGGTTTGTTTGTTGTATTTCCAATCCCTCCTGTGGGTGGCAAAAAGTTTGTGATCGGAACATCTATTCCTGAACCATATCCGGGAAGTTCAAACGATGGTTTAATTGAGTTCCCGGATCCATATCCGGGTCCATATCCTTCAAGGGTGTAGCTATTCGATGGTTCTTCATAATCTTCATAGTCCTGAATTCCATAATTCCTAAAAAATTGCTTTTTTTATAAATCATAAGTTATCATTATTATCACCAGTGTCCTTTTTATAACAAGTTAGATAAATTAAAAAGTTTTATAGAAGTTTTTTAAAATATGCAAAAAAAAATCATTTCTGACACCCCTAGGCTTTTTACGCCAATATAGTTCACCAAATCCATACTGCAGTCCTTCAATTATCATACAGGGAAATTTTCATCTTTCTAAACATTCCAACGAATGATTTGACAGGTTCTTTAGCATGGCAAAAGAAAAATCAATATATGGTTCTAGCTTGGGAACCCAGCTAGCTAACCAGGTTATTAAAAGTTACTCCCGCCGTTTACCCGCACTTTTACCGGGCAACTAAATTAAAATCGACCCACTCAATTCAGTATCTCAAAACCAAGCAAAAAACATTAAAATGGCTCTCCCCAGTTCCCCAATCAAAATTTAAGGCAAATCGGTTCAGGGGTTTCTGATTTATGATCGGACAAAAAAACAAATAGACAAACAGAGATTACAACTTTAAATATTTAGATTATTTATAGTAATCGCTTGGGAACCCAGCGCTGCCCAGGTTCCAAAAGCTACTCCGCCGTTTACCCGCATTTGAACGTGTTTACAAGGAAAATATTTTTTCGCTATCAAAGTCGACCCACTCAACTTAAAATTATTCAAACCAAGCTATGAACATTCCCGTGGGTCTCCCAAGTTCCCCAATTAAAATTTGAGGCAAGTCGTCAATCCAGGGGTTCCAGATTTAAAATCGGACAAACAAGCAAGCAAACAAACAGACAGACAAACAGAGATTACAACTTTATATATATAGATACCTTGCATCAATTAAAAAAAAACTAAAAGGATTTTTGTCGATTTTATTTTTTAAAATAATTTCAGACTTTTTAAAGCACTTATTTTTCTGAAAATATTTTCAATCCAATATAAAGACGACAAAACCCCCCAAATATAAAGACGACAAAACCCCCAAATCCATAATTTTTTTAATAATAATAGAATACCTATTCTTAATGAAACCTTGCAGTAAAACAAAGCTTTCTATCTGAAATATAATTTCTCAATTAGCAAGGAACTAAACATTCGTCACAATATGTAATTTTTTAAATTTCTATATCTATATTATCTTATGATACGGTGGTAGACGATTAAATCAGTACAATAAAAACGTCTTTCGATTTCAATTTAGATTTATATCAAGCTTTTAAAAAGCATGGAAACAAAGTGAAGCTGTCAATTAAAAAGCTTCTCTTTAAACACTTGTAAACTTCTAATTCTTAAAAAAGCTTGTTAACAATTAAAACTCAAATAGAACAGTCTACTTCATTATATTGATATTATCGCCTACCACTGTATGATATTATTATATTGATATTATCGCCTACCACTGTATCATATTATTATATTGATATTATCGCCTACCACTGTATGATATTATTATATTGATATTATCGCCTACCACCGTATGATATTTCAAACTTTAACCATTTAGTCGAATTTATCGTTAGAAGTATCAAAATTTCACAACATCAGGTTGCAAAGGTTAAGGGGTTAGAAATAATGAATTTGTGGCGAATATTTTTTTGTTTTGATGTGTTTAAATCAAACTATAAGTATATTATTAGTTCATCTATACAGTAAAACATAAATATTATACTTGAATTTATTTGAATGTAAAGATACCTAAAGTTTCATGTACGGGTGCCTAAAAAAACTGGGATTCTAATTTTTAATTTAATCTTTTGAAATTACTCAAAAATGTGCCCCGGTGTAAAGTTTTTAATTTTAGATGGGTTGGTTTGAGCAAGGTTTTGTCTCTAGATCCATCCATTTGGTATAAAACTATATCGTATATTTGAAAATCTTTCTGTTAACTTCAGCTAACCAATATTGCTTGAGAAACAAAACAATCCTTTTACATCTATCTTAACCCCCCTTAGATTTTTTTCTTGGCTTTCTGAAATCCAAGGTGTAGACATAGTTCTATACCCAGAAGTTCAGAACTTTATGAAGAGAAACCCTAAAAAGATTGGTTGCAGAGTTCCCGGTCCCATGATTGGAACAGCTTTGATGAACCTGGGAAAATAATAGAAATAGCCGATATTTTAACATGGCATCCAATCTGGGCCGCTGTAAGAAATCGTTTGAAATATAAACATTAAAATAACCTAAATAAGTATTCATTAATTTGATTTCCAAGCATTTTAAAGTTGTTTCTCTCTGCAGCATAGATTAGAATAGAATAATAAAGATTAGTAAATGTTTAAAAATTAGACACAGTTGTGCGCCAAACAGAAGCATCGAATGCCGAAATGTTACTTAAATGACCCTTACTAAAATTAAAAACTATATACGAGGGCACCTTTCTAAGTAGTTTTAAATGATTACTGGGTCTTTAGAACGCTAATCCAAGTTATTTTTTGGGTCATCCTGTAAATCCTTCAGTAATTAAATTACACGAAGCTTATCAAGTTATCAATGAAAGCTTTTAATGAATTCGAGTTATCGAGAAAATGCAATTTTTCATCTAGGATAGAAGTTGATTAAATCCCTAGTAGTGGTTAGAGGATGAGCAGCATATGTGACTTTAATATTCAAGGATTTAAGATGAACTGATCTTTAAACTGTTCTTCAACCCTTCTTAATCAGTTCTGATCCAACCAGGGCTAAATATGCACCACCGGAAGAATTTTAAAAATGAAAAAAAATACTTTAAATGTTAATTTCTTGTATTTTTTAGTTTTGAAGTTTAGTGAAGAATATTAAACTGCGAAGACCTCAACGTGGTACAGGACAACGTCGTATCCTTTCCTGATACAAGAACTTCCGATCAAATATTAAAGCGAAATATTGCGAATATGAATTTACAAAGTACATATTCTGCCCATAGTAATGTTTAGAATGTAAATTCAGGCAAGGTATGTATATTGAAGGCAGGGGGGGGGGTAGAGATTAAACTAGTTTATAATAAATAAACAACAGTTAGTAAAAAAGCCTGGCCTCCAATCCTGTCCTGAGGTGGACATCAAGATCACTGCTTGATCTAGATCTTTTGTTAAATCTATGATTAATCTAATATTTATTTGATATTCCGTACTGAAAGCTTACAGCCAATCAGAAGCCTAGGCATTTTGCTTTCAATCAATGAGAGAACAGAGAAAGTAAGTAATATCCAAAATCAAGAGATCAAGCAGATTCTCGGTAAAATTCAGTGCCCACAATGGATATCGAGATCAAGCAATCACGATTATGGGTATCCAACACATTAATTCCAAGCCTAGGAAAAATGGAACATTTGTTTAAGTCTTAGTAAAAGTGTGTGAACAAACTCTATTCCCCCAACCTATATTACGCACCTTACACTCAGGAACCTATATTGTTGTTTTCTTAAACAGGTTTTAAGCAAATACAGATGTACAGCGGTATTTCTCAGGTAAAACATGGAATTATTCAATTCTGAATTAAAATTTCGGTTTCAGTTGAACTTCGACTGCAGTTCAAGTATAGATTTTTCTTGGCGTCAAACCTTATAGAAACCGCTACGTATAGCAACATGGGTTATTTTCTGGGAGACAATTTTTTATATTTTTGAGAAATTAAATAATCAGTGTAAAGTAGATATAATTTTCATAAAATCCTTTTATTTAAATGGTAAAACGGAATTTTATGAAATCATATTTGCATTACTGGAGAACTTTTTTATACTTTTGAGAATTTTTTTTCTCTAAAAATAGAACTGTAGATAGAATTTTTGTAAAATATCTTTTTAAATAGTAACATGCAAATTTATGTATAACCATATAATCATTCATTTATGTTGTCAGTACATAATAAAATCTGGGGGACCTTAAACACAATAGAGAGCAGTACAAATGTACATATTAAACTATTTTAATGCATGAAAAAACCTTTATTTTTAAAATAAGATTAAATGCTTCTCTGTCGTTTTCTGTGTTGGGACGATTCTTCCAGTCCCACGGGTAATCAATATAATAAAGCTTGTCGCTCATACATATCGCTCATGTATATATAGGCCTTTCCATTCTCTACAAATAAAACCTTTATCAAACCTTTACAATAAACCCAAAAGGACACGAATGGGTTTAGAGTAAACAAAAGTATAGGTCAAGCATAAAAGATATGGAACTGGGTAGAGTAAAGGTTGAGGTTAGGTTTAGAAGTGAGGGATAACGAAAGTTAAGGAGTTCTACAACATAACTTAACACCCTAAGCCTAAGAACTAAAAGAATTAGCAAGGAAAGAAGGGTAGGATTAAATAAAAAGGAAAAGTTTTGAGTAAAGGATAAGGGGAAAGGTCTATATTAAAGGACATGGAAAGGTTCAGGATAAAGGATAAGGGGAAAGGTTTATTGTAAACGATATGGAAAGGTTCAGGATTTGGGATAAGGGTAAAGGTCTCAAATAGAAAGGTTTAGGGTAGGGGAAAGGTCTT